AAAAACCCAAAAAATACCTTGAAACCATATCTTTCTCACCTATATCATTCCCCCTTCTAGCCAAGTCAATCACGGCTGGCGCCGGTGATCGAAAAATATCGTATTTACTGATAAATATTATATTTATTAGTGAATATCGTATTTACTCGTAAATACCATGTTTATCTAAAAATTCAATCGCTAGCGCCGTAACCAGTAAACACCGTATTTATCAGTAAATATCGTATTTACTTATAAATACTAAATTTATTTGAAAATCTAAAAATTCAACCACCATTGTTGGCGATTAGTAAATTTCATATTTACTAGTAAATATCGTATTTACTCATAAATATTATATTTATTCAAAAATCTAACTGCCAACGCTAACAACTAAAAAATACAGTATTTACTGAAAAATATTATATTTAGTATTTATTTGTAAATATTATATTTACTGTCGCATTTATTCAGAAATCCAATTGCTCATAAGTCATACCAATGAGCAATAAATCTCGTATTTAAGTGTAAATATTAGATTTACCAATAATTCCTATATTTAATAAAAAAAATTTGGTATTATTTAACATGTAAATTTTAGAAATATAAAAAAAAATAAAAACCGGTAAATAAATGATTTATTTACAAAATTGTTTTAAAAAATTATTTAATTACACAGTTAGACAAAAAACCCCAAATTAAAGTCATAACCCTAAAATCGTCCTTAAAAGTATTCTTCTTCGTAGTAACCCAGACCGCCGTCTAGACCTCGTCGGCCACACAGCGCCGCCCAAACCCGAGTATCATCTCCGTCAAACCTACATCAAAGCTCAACAAAACCAGGAAAAAAAAGCGCGAAATCAAAGCCCAAGCGTCGTGATGAGCTCCATTGTCGGGGAGAGCTGAATCGCAAACGCCGTCGGAATAATGAAATCGAAGCCTTAACCTCCAGGCATCGTCGACGTGCTCCATTGTCGATGAGATCTCTGCAGGATCTGCATCACAACGGCATCATAATCGCGAGGCTTCGCCTGTCGGATTTCCGTGCGCGCAGTAGACTGGAATCCCAAGAGAACCTCATCGGAGATTCCCTCACGCGGCGGCTATCGTCGGTCGTCGGAAGTCGTCACCATCACTGGTCGTGGCTGCATAGAGTTACGGAGAGAGAGAGAGGCGGTAGAGAGAGAGGCGGAAATAAACCTAAAAACAATCAGAGAGAGAGACAGAAAGAAAGAAAGAAACCTAAAAGGGTAAAATTGGTATTAAACATATCCGTTTATAAGCAAAATGAGAATGTGCTATAATTAACTATGATTTAAAAAATGTGATATTTACTTTAAAAGTAGATTTTTAAATGTACTTGTTGACGGTGAAAATTTATTAACAGATTAATAATAGATTTTTAGTGGTTAGTGTGTGGATTAAACGGATTTGAACGTGATTAAGAGAAATTAAAAGAGAAGACACAAGAATTTTATAGTAATTCACCCTTGAAGTTCAAGAGCTACATCTATTGTGAGGAGAGAAAAATCTTCACTAAAACTCATAATACAAGTTTTCTTAAAGAGTTATCTCATGAGCCTCTTGGCTCACCATTTTGACATATATATATATATATATATATTGGCTCACCTCTCTTTCAACCTCTGTCATTTACATTATTACATTCCATCATTATATTGTGTCACATCATCTAATATTTTAGATTTAGCCGTTGGTGGTAGAGTGTCTTCCAGTCAACAATGACTTTTTCCCTGCTCCCCTACTAATTTCGCTTCCTTACAAATCACGTAAGAAACTAAACTTGCAGGTTTAGTTTCTTCCTCAGGTTGCGTGTAATCGGCTCTTCGGGCGCCTATCATGCCATCTACGCCCACATTTGCCTGAAGTGGTCGACCTCTCATCTGCCTGATGCCTCTGAAGCGGTCAACGCCTCGCCTCTTGCTCTTCTGTATGGTCGACTTCTTGTGTTATCTCACGGTCGACCTTTTCCAAGCTTCATTTTGCGAGTACTTGATGCTAAGCTGCCATGGCCATTTATCTACTAATCATGCCACGTGGCGTTCATCTAGTACCTGACGTGGAGCATGAGATTTTTCCCCACAACAGTGCTATTTGGTGTATTTTCTCTTCCACGATCACATACTCGAACCCCCAATCCCTTGTTAGCTGAATAGCCGACAAACCCATTTTGGCTTCCCAAACTGCGATCGAGAGCTTCTTGGAAAAACTATGACAAGCCCCACAATTAATCCACCAAGTATCCAACTTGTCACCACATCGAGCATACACGAATCTTCTCCAAATTGCACATTACAATTGAGCTTAATAACTCGTGCACAAACAAAGGCCACACTAACGGTTTGCTGCGAAGTGATAGCCTATTTAAGACCTTGTTCATTTTACCAATTCGAGTTTTCAATTTCATTTTTGCTACAGTTAAAAAGCTCTCACAATAAGTCACATTTAACTTTTCTAATACAGTGAAAAGCTCTTATATAAAATCACATCTCAGCTCGAATTGAAAACTCAAATCTGAACGAGGCCTAAAACTATCGAATTTAACTTAGTTGGATTTGGATTCCACATCTTAAAATAAGCTTCGTTCTTTGACTTCAAATTGCTTTCAAGATAATCATCGCTTTTGATGAGAAATCTTCTTTGGTCCATTTCCATGTTCAAAATATGATGGTCTTGAATGAAAAGTTTGAAATATGTGGTTTTGTTTTTTGCTCTAATTGAAATATGTGGTTTGAACATATGGTTCAAATCATTCAAAAGAACTTTTGAGGGTGTCTTTTGTTAATAACTCACACATAAAGAAAGGCTACACCCTCACTTTTTCCCTCGAAGAGAAGCATAAGGTGTAAGGCAAAGCTCTTGAAACTCTTCAAACGTATCTAAAACTAATGAATTAACTTACTATGATCGGGATTCCACCTATTGAAATAGACTTCTTTTTTTTTTGTTTACGAAAAAAAATTCAAGATGCTTTCATAAACACCGCTTTGGGTGAAAAATGTACTTTAGTCCGTGTCGACTTGAACATTGCTATCCAAGACTGAATAACCTCCTATCTTATGTTGTTTGGTAAATAAGTTCAGAAAAATTTGAAACATATGGTTTGAATATTTGATTTAAATTATTCGAAAGCGTCCGTGGGCTGGGAAACTCAACATAAGACCTGTTTAGAAGGTATACTCAAATCACGATTCTTGATTTTATGGTATAAAATAAAAAAATTTTATGAAAACAAAGTAACAGAATTAATGATTTGAGTTTGAGTATATAAAACATATGGGCCTTAAAATTTTTTTAATTCTAAACATTTAAACCTGTTTACTAAACAGTCTCCTAAATTCAGTAGATGAAAAAAAAAAAAAACAAACTCATGTAGCCTTAGCAAACAAATAGATGAATATAACATTTTATCTTGCCCCCATATAAGACCTTAGCAAATAAAGAGATGAATGAAATGAATAAATTAATAAAAAGTTTGAAATATGTGGTTTGTACATTAAAGTTTAATTGCGCATTTGAAACTCGTTCTAAAATGATTTTATTTTTTATATGAAAATGAAAATGAAAACATTTTTACTCTAAGACAGAAATCATTTATGAAAATCTAATAGTATTTTAAATAATATATTAAACACTTATTAAAATCCCAAATCAGTTATGAAAATAAGAGGGATGAGAAAATAATATAAATCCCAAATCCCAAATCAATAATATATTAAATAATACATTCTGTTGAAGGAAAGTAAGAGGAGAAAATGAAAATAAGAGATTGAAAGCTTGTTTAGCTCGCTGATTTGAGTTTTTAATTTGAGTTGAGATATAATTTTATGTGAGAACTTTTCACTGTAGTAAAAAAGTTAAATGTGACTGTTTCTGAGTGCTTTTTATTATAACAAAACTCAAATTTTAAACTTAAATTGATAAAATAAACATGATCTGAAATCGTTTTAAAAAAAAAAAACTCACATTTTACGCATCACTAAAAAGGCATTTTCATTTATGTTTTTTTGTCTAATCTTCCTCCAAACGAAATTTGAGCTTATTTTCATTTTTTTCTTCTCACAAAACGTGAAAATCGTTTTGAAAAACATTTTCAAACACGTACTTTAAGTGCTGATTGTTCGTAATTTAATTGCAAAAGGAAACCATAATAATTGTAAATTCTAATGCTCCCTCTCCCGGAAAAAAAAAACAAAAAAACAAAAAAAAATATCCATGAAATTAAAATTGTGATCTCCTGATACAAAAAAAAAATTCTATATTGCAATAATAAGAGACGTTTAATTTATAAATTTAAAATTATAATTTAAAATTATTTTTATTTTATATATATTTTTTATTATAAAAATATTATAATAAATTATAAATTATAATTTAATTCGTGATATAAATCTCTTTTCTAAACGTCAATAACAAAAAGGAACCCACAAACTATCCATATTTTCGATTAGCGAAAAAAAATCCATATTTTCAACTTTTTCCCGCATTCGCATTAATGACGATACGGTTTCACAACCTCTTCTTTTTAGGGATTATTATCATGGCATCGGCAATTCAAAAAATAAAAGGAATAATTAGCCTAGATAGCTATGGCCTACGAGTCTAGTCTCGAAAAAGACAAAAAACATAAAATCGATAGAGCAAATCATAACAAACACAATGGAACCTCAACAGGTAACGACTTCAAAAAAAATAAAAAATAAAAAAAAAGTTCTCAGCCAGTCAGCCTCCTTAAACCCTTCGAGTCCCATTACTTGCGTCGCAAGAAAGATCCTTTCTCCTCCTTATTCTCAACCCCCTCCCATCTTCTCCTCTCTCTCTCTCTCTGCGATCTTTTTGATATTCTCTCTCAAGAAAAAAGACCTCCTTATTCTCAACCCCCTCCCATCTTCCCCTCTCTCTCTGCGATCTTTTTGATATTCTCTCTCAAGAAAAAAGCCAGGGTTTTCTTCCTGAAAATCCTGTTCTTGGGGCACAGAAGAAAGCCAAGATTTTTTCTAATGAAGATCTTGGAGAAGAAAGGTTATCTAGAAGTCCCAAAAGAGTTCTGCCCACAGGCGGTAATCGAGTGGTACAAGTTCGGCGCGCAGAAGGGTCACAAAAACGACCTCACCAAATCGGACGTCCGAGAGAAGGCCAGGAACCATCTCTCCTTCCTCGGATGGCGTTTCTGGTACGGACAGAAGCAGAACAGAATGGAGTTACGCTACACGTCGCCGTCTGGAAAGAACCACTACTCGCTTCGGACGGCGTGCCAGGCCTGCATTGACGGCGGAATGCTTTCCGAGAGCGTCGCCTCCAATGCCCTCATCGTCTCTTCTGAAGAGGGCTCTCCTCGTTTGTTTCCCGGGAAAGTCAACGACCTTTCCCGAGAAAAGGAGAATTCGTCTGTGGAGTCTTCCTCCACCACCGTGTCTTCGACGGAATCAACAAAAGGAAGGAAGAGAAGGAGGAACGCTGATCAGGAGTTGGAAAATTCCCAATCGGTTCAAATTCAACCTTCAGAAGAAAGTGAATTTTCCGACTTTCATGTCGACCAAAACGGGTCAATCACTGATTCAAATTCTGAAAATCCTAGCCCCTCAAGAGGAAAGAGAGTTATTGCGGGTTTGACTGACTCAAGAGGCTCAAAACCCATAAGAGGAAAGAAAGTGGTTTCGGATTTGAAGAACAGTTGCAAGAGGAGATCTCCTAATAATAATAGCCACGAAAGAGTTAGAATTAGGATTGCTAATATTCCTGTTTCCTCATCACGACGCAGAAATGTAAAGTCGGTTCTTTCGTTGTTGATAGACAACAATGTGGTGGTTTTGGGGGCGAAAGTGCATTACCGAGGGAAAGAATTCAGTGGTGGCGTTCTTACTCGCGAAGGAATAGTGTGTGATTGTTGCTCAAAGGTTTTCGCTCTCACGGCTTATGAAGAACATGTGGGGAGCACAAATCACAGACCGGCTGCTAACATTTTGCTTGAAGATGGAAGGTCGTTGATGGATTGCAAGAATCAGATAAGGAGTGAGAAACGGACGACAATGGTGACTGGTCAGGAGGAGAATAGTATTGACAGAGATGAGAGTGATGACATGTGCAGTGTTTGTCATTATGGGGGTGAGTTGGTTTTGTGTGATTCTTGTCCTTCTGCTTGCCACGTCAAATGTTTGGGTTTTGAGAGAGCCCCAGATGGTGACTGGTTTTGCCCTTCATGTCGTTGTGGGATTTGCGGCCAAGGGAAGTTGGAAGAGGCCAGAACAGAATCTTGTACTAGTAGTATTGATCATGTTAGTACTAATGATGATAATGGTGTTCTTATCTGCCACCAATGCGAGCGAAAATTTCACATGGGGTGTTTAAAGAATGCAGGGGTTGATCTTGGCTTGGAAAAGGGTGGTTCCAGGGAGAATTTGTTCTGTAGCAGAAAGTGTGAAGATGTATGTTCTGGTCTGAGGAAGATTGTAGGGAAAAGAATCCCAGTTGGTGAAGAAAAAGATAATCTGACTTGGACATTGTTGAAGGCAACTGAAAACGACACCAAGCTTGAGAATTCTTTTTTAGTGATGCATGAGTGTTTTGAGCCTGCTAAGGATCCTTTGACAAATAGGGACATTGTTGAGGATGTGTTTTTTGGTAGAGAGTCAAAGCTGAGCCGTCTTAACTTTAGGGGGTTTTACATTGTCGTTTTGGAGAAAGATGATGACTTGGTCACTGTGGCTACTGTGAGAGTATATGGAGAGAAGTTGGCAGAAGTGCCTCTTGTTGGCACAAGGTTTGAGTACCGCAGGCGTGGAATGTGTCGTGTTTTGATGAATGAGCTTGAGAAGCAGCTTGTGGGCTTGGGAGTAGAGAGGCTTGCTTTGCCTTCTGCTTCAAGTGTTCTCCAAACTTGGACTACTTCTTTTGGGTTCTCAGTGGTTACACGTGGTGAGAAATTGCAGTTTCTAAGTTACAATTTGCTGGATTTCCAGGGTACCTTCATGTGCCAGAAGCGGTTAATTGAGAAGACAAGTGAAGCAAAATCAAGCATAAGTGAAGGGAATTCGCCTACTGAAGTGGTGGATCATGTTGATGACCTTTTCCTTTCTGAGGAGGATATGGCGTCCCTGCATAGCATTTTGGGGAGCTTATAATCATAGGCCGAAGACTAGCACAGCTGATGTGGGAGGTCGAGAGTAGTTTTTTTGAAGGAAAAGATCAATTTTGTGAACCAAGGAGATATCAGCCATGGAAAGAAGTACAGTCACTAGTATATCTCTGTTCTTTTTCTTTTTTTCTTTTTTGTTTGGTTCTCCCAATTTTGGTAACTCTTGGATCAGTTGTACATACTAGATTTTGCTTTTAAGGAAGTTGTAGATAACTTTTTTAAAGGTAGAGCTATTCAAGTCTTTATCAGTATATTGAACTTTATATATAGCTAATATACAAGTTATATTATTATTATTATTATTATTTTGCCAAAAAGAAATCTTTTCTTGAACTGTTAAGGTCAGTAAAATTTTTTTAGAAATAATCACATTTATTTTTTTTATTATAATAAAAAACTCTCGTATCGAATTAAACGGGCTCTAAGTTAACCAATGTTATATTGCTGATGTAACCTCTAATTTTTTCTGGAATTTTAAGAAAAAGTTTGATGAAGATCATATAAGATGTTAAAGAGGGGTCTAGAGCAGATTGACTAGCACAAAATTAATATTGACCAAGGCTTCTCAAAATAATTCTGCTGATTGTAGAGAAATTGATAATTTTCAGTAGCATTTTGCCGTAGATAATTTCACTTTTCTTGATGCTTTAGCTTTTTCTAGTATCAGTGTGTCTAATTGGTCACCACCATGCGACCCCAGACGTTTAATAAGTGGCCATGTTCATTTTAAAAGCTTCTGTTGCAACCTTTTATTGTTTAGGAGATTTTATGATACGCCTAATGTATTGGTAAGTTAAATTTTTTTAACCGTTAAATCTGTAAATTTTTACATGACGTGTTGATTAGTTAAGTTTTTTAACCGTTAGATCTATAGATTTTTACGTGTTTTTATGTAAATTTAATGGATAAAAAACTTAACTTATTAATATGTTATCGTACTTAAAAAAATCCATTATTATTTTATTATTATTATTTTTTAAATGCCTGTCGTAACCTTTTCTTAATTTGCAGCATATCCAAAATGTTTTGAAGTAATGTCTTACCTGGTGAAGTTAATTATGTATGTAGGTACAAGGCCGTAATATCTCAAATCTCAAATTGGAAACATTCTTGCCCGTTCATTTCGCTGATTCGAGTTTAGAATTCGAGTTTTGTTACAGTAAAAAGCTCTCAGAAATAGTCACACCTAACTTTTTTGCTACAATAAAAAGCTCTCTCACAACATCATATCTCAACTCGAATTAGCGAACTGAACAGCCATTTTCAAAAGGAGACTCTTCAATGTTACTGTTTATTGTACAGTGTTATGAACAGTAAATTTTCGTTTTTAACATCTTAAATGTGTATTTACAGATTTGTCCTTTGATGTTTGTTTACTGCACACGTTTTTATTTGGTATTTTCGTCTATTTCTTGTGGCCTTTTTTTAAAATATTTTTTACATATAGGGAAACAGCTCCATTAGGAATAGGTTGTATCATGTTTCTTCTCTCATTCTTTTCCACCGTCTAAAGTTCTATCATCTTTCCTCTGAAAGCTTCTGCTTTCTACGTTTCTTCTCTCATTAATTTCCTCTCCTGCTCTATATTCTTTGCACAAATATGGTTTTCTTTGTCTTCTTTTTTCGTTACAAATTTTCTTTTTCTTTCATTTCCTCTGTAGTGAACTTATTTTGGGGGCCTACTTATTTTTTCATCGCTTTTTCTCTCTGATTTGGTTTTTTTTTTTTTTTTGGATTTTCCGGTGTTGCTGGTTTTTTCTCAGCTTCTAGGCTTCTTTCCTTTCGGTGTGTTTGGTTGTTTTGATGTTTTTGGTGGAAATGATGCTTTTAGGCTTTTTTTTTTCTTTTGTTCTCTCGGTGGAAATGAAAAAATCTTTTGGTTTCCATTTCTTCTCTTCGTCTGGATTTTTTTTGATCTTTTGAGTTCTCCTATTTTCTTCTGGTCTCCTTACAATAAAGTTTTTAGGTTTTCTTTTATCTCTTCTATTTGTGTTGGACTTCGGTGGAAATGAAGCTTCTAAGGGGTTTTTTTTTCCTCTGTCGTTCTCTCGGTGGAAATGAAAAATATTTGGTTTGGTTGTTTTGGTGCTTTTGGTGGAAATGATGCTTCTGGGCTATTTTTTTCCTTTGTTCTCTCAATGGAAATGAAAATATTTTTTACTTTCTCGATTTTTTTCTTTGCCTTGCAGTTGTTGTTTTGGGTTTCGTATTGTGATTAATCTTTTTTTTAAAGGGGCTTTTACAATTTCATTTGGTCTTCGTTCTGTAAGTGCTTTGGCTATTTAGAAATTTATATTTTTAAGGTTTTTATGATACTAAGGTTAGAAGAACTCGAATGTCTGGATTTTTTTTTATTGCCTAAATTTTTTTGATTTTAGTTATAGGGGTAAAGATCAATCTGTTTCCTTTTTTCCCTATCCTGATCTTCTTTTGTAATCTTATTAACCAGTAATCGATTTGTTTCTGATGTGATTTTTATTGTGACATCATGTTTATATTTTCTTTTGCCACGTGTTTTTATTCTGCTATAATTCTCTACTATACATATCTAATTTTTTACTGTCTATTGGTTTTCATTTGGTTTCCATGCTGCGTGACACCTGTTCTTAGCCAATGATTATACCAATTCAAGTTTTTTTTAACTGATGAGCAGAAATTTGTTTTCTTTGTGTATAAATAAAGGCCTCGTTTGCTTTGCTGATTTGAGTTTAGAATTCAAGTTTTTCTACAGTAAAAAATTCTCATAAACAATCATATCTAATTTTTTTATTACAGTAAAAAACTTTCACAAATAATCACATCTCAACTCGAATTTTAAATTCAAATCAGTGAAGTAAACGAGGCCAAAGTCTTCTACTGTATTGTTATATCTGTGATTCCATTTCTCTTTTCATTCTTCGAGTACAATAATCTACTGTATTGTTATATTTGTGATTCCATTTCTCTTTTCATTTTTTATAATTAAATCTTATGAAAGTTACTATTCAATATGTTGTTCTGTCATATTGAATGTTATTTTTTATATATATATATTTCTTGCTTTATGAATAGTATTTCTTTTTTTTTCGTTTTATTTATTTCAATGTAGTCTTTTGTTCTATATACTTGTAATTTAGTAAAAAAAAAATATATAAACATACTATGAATACTAACTTTCATAAGATTTAATTATAAAAAATGCATATGCTTTATATTTGTACTCATAATTTCTTCATAAGACTTACTATCATAATCTAACATAGAATAATAAAATATAATATCAAATATTACACATAATTTCTTCATAATATTTATTCTCATAATCTAACATAAAATGATAAAACATAATACTAATGATTAGCTTATATTATAATACTAAAAAAGATCACTGTATCTTTAATAATAATATTGCTTGATAATAAGATATTAAATAAAAGATATCTTCTTAGAGTATTAATTTTGTTTAGCATTTGTTCTTTCGGCGATTTTTATAGTGTTATTATTTCTATTAGTTATTTTGTTTTTATCATGTAGCTTGGTTTTTTAATATTTAAACAAACATTTGATAATTATATTTTGGGAACGTATTAAAATATTTGTGTCAACGTTATACTAAAATATAAATTAATATAAAATTTTGAAAAAATATATTTTTCATAAAAATTACAATGCCACTTACTTAGTAATAACATTTATTGTAAAAAAAATAAAATTTTAAATTTATAATTAAACAAATTTTAATTTTTATAAACAGATACAAAATCAATGTACGCATAGAATATACACACAGGAAGAACAAACGCAGTTATGTTCGGTAAAACTGTTTATCCACTCATAAATAAAGCTTGCTCTACACTTATTTATGAGGAAAGATACACTGATCGTTATACGATTTCTCCCATTTTATTACAAATTAGAGGAATGTTAAAGATATTTATTATACAGTTTCATAGTTGAGGTGTTTTCGTCGATATAAAGTCATTTTAAAAACTTATCAACGATGATGAACCTCTATTGTGCTTGCCTCCAACAACATCAACATCTTCAAGAGCAATCCATCCCATCAATTTCGGAACCACCTGAGTAAGCTATTATTCACATCTTATCTTTTTTTCAATGTTAATAAATCATTGTTTATAATATATTAATATTTATTACTATTACAGTCTTTACCATCCACCTCTTTCAACACAACCTAAATCTACTTCTTCAATCAATTCCTAAAAAAACAAACGTTACATATTAAAATAATTATTTCCTTAAATGTAAACAAATTTATTATTATTCATTTATCATTTATTAATAACTAATCTTTATTTTTTCTGTATATTTTTATTGCGGCTCCGACGAAACAAAGAAAATAACTAAAGAAGAATAAATATGTGTGTATATATAGACACAAATATGTAAATAAATGTATATAACTTACAAACTGAACTGTCATTATATACCCAATTTTGTATCAACTTTTGAGTATCATAGACAAATATACATCCATGCAATGCACGGGTAACCCACTAGTTTATACTAAAAACTGTAGCAAGTTACGGTGTTTAATCCAGAATCTATTATTATAGAAGTACATGAAACTATCGTACAAAAAATAGGTACACCAAACTATCGTACAAAAAATAGGTACACCAAACTATCGTACAAAAAATACGTACATGAAACTATCGTACAAAAAATGGGTAGTACATGTATATTTACAAGACGCGACAAAGACATGGGGAGAGAGAGAAGGAGAAACAAAAAAAAATCTATTTTACGTGTTAGACAAAGGACATTTCTCCGGAGCACCTGGATATAAATCCAAAAATTTATATCGAAGGGCTTTTACTTCCAGGAGTATGAAGATCCACGTTGCAACAGCAGCAAATTTCAGTCGCTCCAATTATCCTGGTCCTGATGTGGTCCTTCATCCTGCAATTCCACCCAAAACTAATGATACACTTTCCTGTACTAAGCAGCTACAGGTATGATTTAAACTAGATATACAGGACAAATATAAAACAAGCGATAATAATGACGCCATTGGGTTTACCATTTCATCGTAAACCAATCTGGACGGTGACCAGACAAGAATTTGTCTATCATTGCCACCTGTATACAATTCCTGCACGAACACAATAATGCAAATAAGTTTATTAACGCGATTTAATTCGTTAATTTAAATTTTTAATTTGAATTCAGATGTGATTTTATGTGAAAATTTTTTATTATAATAAAAAAATTAAATATAATTATTTTTTAGAATTTTTACGGTAATAAAACTCAAATCGATAAAATGAACGATATTTAAAATTTCTCAGGACGCGTATCAATCTAATTCTAAGAATTTTTTTTTTTCATAGAAAAGTCTAGTTCCAAGATTAATTTTTCAGAAATCGGCAAAAAAAAAAAAAAAAAAAAAGAGATTAATTTTTCAGAAATTCAACGAACAGATCTTTTGTTTCATGGATTTAATCCTATGATGGTAAGAAAATGGTTTTAAAAGTACTTTGGAGTGACAACCTCTTCATTTTACTTCATAAAGCGCCTAAAAGAAAGTGAGAGCGTTATGATTGTACCTGATCCTGAAAACTAAAGTAGCAACAATTTACACATTCATAGTGGCCACGAAATGTCAGGTCCGTTCTACCCGACCACATATCAAATGCCTGAAAATCCAAAAAATCAGAAATTAAAATAGCCAGATGATAAATATTTAAAGATATTCTCATACAGAAGAGTTCAACAGATTGAAACGTGAAGAAGAATGAATGACCTTCACAGTTGTCATGCATGGAACAAAAACAAGGGCTGAATTCTGACTTGTAGCTAACTGCATAGGCTTGCTGGTTTGCAGGCGCACGGTCTCGAAATTCACTAGAGTATTGCGACCGGATTCAACGTCCCACAGCCTCAATCTTGAATCAGAACCTGAAATAAGAAGAGATATTATTGCTGTAATAATGAAATAAATGCCCTTCTACTTACGTAAATGTATCACCACAGTATTATAATTACTATAAAGGCTACTATTACTAGTATATGCCTCCATGATATTTGCATTAAATAAGTTGACATGTGGAAGATAATAGCCATATGAATCCATTTTGCGCAAATATGCCATCAAACTTCAAAGCTAGCTATATCCAAAATATTCGAGACGATTTTAATGACAATTTAATGAAAGATAAACTTAGAAGTATTTAGAGCTCTAATTTAAACAAGCCCCTACCTGCACTTAGAAGATGCATGCCATCTTCAGTAACTTTTAACCCAGTAACCGCCCCATAATGAGCGGTTGCACGATCCTGAGCAGACAACATTCCAGGATGTAATCTTTGCCTCAGGGGTCCTTTGGCAGGAATTTTAGCAATAGGCGATTGTTTCATACTGCTGCCGTTAGAAAGTTTCCTTTGCGCTGCTCGGGCTTTCACAGGCAAATTTGGGCTTGGTGACGAGGACTTGGATGAAGAGACCTTCATGAAATACAGAAAAATATTATCAGGAAGAGTATAAGAAAGTTTTGACTTGATAAGCTTGCTTCAGATTTTGGACACAACTCTTAAAATCGAAATAGATTCTATTATTGTGAGAACAACTGCAGTATAAAACACAAAGCAAAAAGCAAAATGAAAAAGATAACAGAAGGACAAAAGGGCTTTAACATTTCCCTCATAAAAAAAGGGTTGTGCCGCTTCAAACAATACATTAAACTAAACAGCTTCATTTTCCCAGAAGTATCAGTGAACAAATGTAAGGATAGATGCAAATATCGTTATACCATATTAAGCGGATTAAAAGGAGGTGGAATTAAGGGCAAGAAAGACTACCAGTAGAGAATAAAAACCTTATTAGTGGCAGAGCGATCAAGTATAGGAGGGCGTCTGCCAAGCTGAGATTGGGACTGATCCAAAACGAGAAAACATCCAGCACGTCTGATGTCCCAAAAACGAATTGCACCATCGCATCCCCCAGTAACCAAAACCCACTCGCTTGAACTAGACCATTCAACCGTCATCACACCATCTGCCATTACAAAAAAAAAAAAAAAAATAGCACAAGCCACTTACGCCCAGCGTGAATTCATACAGAAACATTTGTCTAACGGGAGTGTTAAATACAGCGACCTTTTCTTTTGATATGTGTCACTAACTTTTCACACAGACATTTACATAAACAAGCGTAGTAATGGCTCCTTTCGTCGCAACATATTGAGAACATTAAGGAAATATATGTAAAAAGAAAAATAGTCTATAATAGACTGTAATTAGCACACTCCAGCTAATTTGAACAAACTTAGCAATGCCTTCATGTCATTGGGCACATCATTTACCAAAATTACAGTTTCCAGACGCTATAATAATTCCAAGATTCCACCATTAAGTTAGTCTGCTGCTGTTCAATTAACTAAATTTGAACCTTAAACTCTCTCAAGCTAAAAGATTTTCCAATTACGATGACACGCAAGTGACATAGATTCCAAAAAGCATTGGCACACATACCACGGTGACCGGAGAGCGTGTGAGCTAACGCCCCTGAGGCAATATCACAGAGGCGAACCTGAACATCTTCAGTTCCAGCAGCGATAAGCATGTGGGAGGTCGCTAAAGAGGACATGGCAGTCTTATAAACCTTCCCAGGCATCTTAAAGTTGGTCACAACCTGCGTGGTATTCGTATCCCATACGTTGATATGGTAATCGTACGAACCGGTGACAAACAGCCCCGTGTCTATAGGATACCACACGGCCGAAGAAACGGCATATTGATGACCGCTCTCGTGAGTCCTGTCGACGACGAACAAGCACTTGTGTTTCCCTATGATTCCATTGCCTTCGTACTCCGTCGGACGCTGAACATCGTAGGCAGCCACGGACGCGTCCGAGGCGCCAGATAGCAGGTATCGTCCCTCTGTCAAATCAACCTGATTTCATGATTCAGAATATGAAAATTTTTCGAATTTGGAAACGGTGAAATTGATTAGTCTGATTTCGAATTCGAATTGGTTTCGAGGATTACCTGAAGGGAATTGATGGATCCTCGGTGAGCGGAGACGATGTCTTTGTGATTGGATAACTGGAGGCTCTCAATTCGGTTCCGCTTAAAGCGATTCGCGAACGCATTTGGGCGAATTTTGCCCGCTTCTCTGTCTCCGATCTCCCTCCACATTTCCGGAGCATCTTCGACCTCAAACGGCGGCGATTTCCCTCACTCTCTTTATTTCTCTGTTTCTCTTTCTCTCTCTAACTCTCAGCAGAAGTCCACTCTCTAATCTCTATTTTGAAGAAATCCCACCGGTGGAGACGGAGACGCAGACCGATGAGCGGACCCAGTATCGAGAAAAGAGACGACAGTATCGTCCGGAAACGGCATCATATTAGAAACGACAAGATATTCAACAGCGCAGAAATGTGGTGATAAAAAAAAAAGTATTTTTTTTTTGTTCAAACGACATAACTTTGCTTAAACGGAAACATAGGAAACGACGTCTTCTTTTAGAACGACTGAGAAATAAATAATCCGGACAAACGATAATATCAACAAAGGCGGTATAAAGTTTAAAATGGAACAATATATTTTAAAATGACAACTCTTAGAGCTACAATTTTGCCAGAAACGACATATTTTTCGAAATAAAGGTCGATAAGTTTATATGGAGAAAGAAATTAAAAATATGTAAGAAAACCGTTTGGAAAGACCATAATCTGAAAACCAGGAGAAAGAAATGACATCAAAATGTAATAGACGACAATATCTGAGAAAACGACGCAATGTGTTAGAACAACATGAACAAGAAAAAATCCCGAGAAACAAGTAACAACATCCTAAGAAAACGCAGAAAGGAAAGTAACAAGTTAAATGGTAATGATCTTAAACAACGTCTTTAAAACTACAACATTTTGAGAAAATGACACTTGTTTTGAGGGCGACAATATATCATAAAAACAACAAAAATTTTATAGAACTACAATAACGAGAACAACGATGTCATGAGAAAATACTACATTTAGATGACGACATCATAACGCACAAAGAAATGGTATGACGATTAAGATAGGAACAATAAAATGCAATCATGGAAACGTCGGCCACCTTCATTTTACATATTCAATTCTTGAGTTTTTGATACAGTATTTTCTATTATAAAAATTAAAATTTAACTTTTTTTTATTATAATATTTACTCTCACATAAATTTAATTTTTAATTCGAATTGAAAACTCAAATATGCAAAACGAAAATTTCTTCAAAAAAAGGGTGGTCTCCATAAACGACATGATCATCCCAAAACGACAGAAGAATAAGAGAAAAAAAATACGGAGATACGACAATATGCTAAGAAAACACAAAAAAAAAATAAAGTATCAAATATTAACAATGAAACAACTTAAAGAATTAAACATATTTAATTATGTTAATTGTGATTTATTAGTGTGCCTAAAACTGATTTTTCTTAATTAATCATATCATTAAAAATTTTAATTACTTTCAGTTTTTATGATTCCACCCCGAAAGTTTTGGGAAACACATTTTCTTACCTATTCTTTTAAATATCTTTTGATATTTATCTTTTCTTTCTTTTCTTTTCTTTCTTTTTCTCTTTCTTTCTCTCGCCACTTTGCTGCAGCAAAATCGAAAAAAAAGAGAAAAAAACTTTAACTTGGTTTTGAAGCTGTGTATAAACTTTAGACTTGAGTCAAGGCATACTAATAGGAAGCAATTGTACATAATTGAACTATAATTGTTTTAGAGGTGAGATCTCAATTCTAAAACATTGTTTTGATGACGAAACTAGCGGCACAATCGGACGTGGAGCTTCAAGAATAGACGATTGGACAACGTGAAGTTATCCGTAGACTAAATTGCCAAGAGATAGGACGTTCTTGTCCACATCCTTGTTAGCCTGTTTTAAAGATATTTGGCCTGTGAAAACGTTTTAAAGATAAAAACGTATTTGAAATCATTGACACCTAAATAAGAGTTTTGTTAGTACCAGTTTGAGTCTTTTAAAACTTTATTAGACAATATGAATAATGCAGAAACACAAAATAAAAGAACACGAGAGAGATGGTACTGTGGTTCGGTAACACCCTACTCCGCGGGGCCACGCCCAGATGATGAACAATCCGCTAAGAACTCTTTTACAATTCAATTGGACTTAATCTACCCGAGACTCCCTCTCTAAGAAGACGCCTATGAACTTGTAATTTCTCAATGGACTTGAACAGCGAGATCCCCTCGACTTTTGAACATTGGAATCCCTCCAACTAAGTTTTTCTTCCGAAAAACACTCAAATCATCTCTCCTGAATACAAGTGCTCACCCCTGTCTCACAACCCAGCCAGAACTCATCAAAAGGCATACCAAGACTTAAGGGACACTTTCAATAAAAAATCAAGCTGTGAATAGCTTGACACATCTTCAATTAATTCGTTGAACCAAATCTGTTGCAGATCCTTGTTGCAACAATAACTGCAACATAGCTGTCACGGTCAACTTTCTCAAAACCAGACGAATCAATCTCCTTTCATTCTGAAATCTTTCCAAAACTGATAAACGAACCTGGACACGTTCTTAGGTGACATAGGAAGATCATCCAGCTATCAAATCTCATTCAAGAATCAATCAAATCAATTTTCCATCTTTGAATCAATAGTTGACTCACAAAAATAGAAACTAAAACAAGTTTCCAGATCTTTTAGTGACCTTCCATAAAAAGCTAGCCAGCTGCACATCTATTTTCAAACACAATCAACTAGCCAAACATTCCCAAAATAATGCCAATCAATACGATTAGAATCAATACACAAATTGAGAAACAAATCCCAACAATCTCCGGAAATAAATCCCAACGAGTTTTATATGATATTTTCTTAAAATTAAGAAACGGTAACATGTTGAAGGCCTGAGAGATTAGGGTATGGAGATCGTATCCTTGGGGGTAGGTCCCGAAACCTATACGGGCTACTACGATGGTGATATCATGGCCTTGCGATAAGGTAAGTGACTCATCGTGAACCACTTACCATAATACGGACTTTTGAGACTTAGTTTTATTAAAAAGGATGTTCGGTTTCGAATGACATGTTCGGACCCTGTACTTCCATTTATTGATTTATTTTTATAAAATTATATCTTACTAGGTCTTTCGCTCACTTTTCTTCTATTTTAAATGTATTAAACCTCTCACAGGGACGCTAGAAGTATTGTTGAGTACTGGTGAGGAAATTCACTCAAGAAGAGAAGAAGCTGTGGAGTACTTTCTTTCTTGTTCTTTATCGCTAAGGCATGTAAAATCTTATGGTTTGTAACCTTAAATTATACTAAACTGTGGTTGATGTCAGCATATTACTTTTCTGTTTTGTTTATGTATGCACAATATGGAATCCCTGTGGGGAAAACTAACATAATAGCAGAGGCTGACTTTTGAAATTGATTTGACCGAGATTGTGGTTTGAAAAGTTTGCCTCACTCTTTTCTAAAAACTCATTTTTTTAAAACAGTGAGGTTTGTTTGGAAATTTCTAAATGTTGATTCTTGAAAATTATTTTTAACATTATTATATGTTTAACCACTTTCTTAATCTATATTTTATTTCTAAATAAGCTTCTACGTAACCCACTCCTATTTATGTAACACCCCGAAGAATTAAATGAGATTAATTAAGATTTATTAGTGTGCCTAATCTAGTTTAATTAATTGATTATTGATTAATAAATGTTTCTGACGTGTAACGTTGAATAATTCTAAGGTATTTAAATATTATCAGTATTTACATTTTTACCCAGAAGTGTGTATGGGCACATTTCTGGAGTGTTATTTTAAATGTTTGACACCTATCCATTTTTCTTTTCTTGTCTTTTCCTTTTTCTTTTTCTTTCTTTTCCTTCCTTTTCTTTCCTTCTCGTGCATACCCACTATCTCTCTTCACTCTTATTTTCTCTTTCTCTCTCTCTCCCGTTTTGATTCAAACAACCAAATCTTGAACCAAAGAGGAATTTCAAGAAGTTTTCAACGTCAAGAGAATGATTCGAGGTAAGATTTCTGAAAAACTTCTCTTAAAACTCGGATTTTCGGATTTAAAAACTTATTTTGGTTCGAAATGGATTTTGATGAATTTTGAGTAAAACCATGGTAGAAATTGGAGATCTTGGGTTCTTTAGACTTGATTCAGTACCTAGAACCCGGATCTAGTGGTTTTCCATATTTTGATTTGGGACTCAGATTTGCAGGTTTTGTGCTGATTTTCTTCAGATCGGCCCTTTTGGCCATCCTGTCGACCTGTGCGGTCGACCGGTCTGCACTACATCAGGTCGACCAAAATGCACACTACCGGTCGACTGGTGGTGTTGTACTGCTCTGTCACCGATCGACCGGTGTACACGGGGTTTGACCCTGTTTTGACCTCAGTTTTCGAGGAGAACCCAAATTATCTTCATTGGGGACTTAGAGTGAATGAATTAGCTTCTTTAATCCATGTTTTGAGATCGAAAACCCTTGAAATGATGATTTGAAATATGAAATGGTTTGTGAAACCGGTAATTGAATTATGGCACACTAATAGGAAATCAAATGGTATAATTGAGATTGAAATTGTTTTAGGAATGTGAATTGGATCCTAAAGCGTGGTTTTGTATCAGTGCTAGCTGAGGACTCGGATTGAAGGGCTTGAGGAAGTGAAAGCCAGAATAGAGTAACACTAGCCTAGTTTGATATTTACGAGGTAGGATTTCTTACCCCTTTCTTTGTGAGCCTGTTTTCAAAAGGATTTTGGCCTTGCAAATGTTTTAAAGAAATGGCATGTTTGCGAAAGAAAAACATTGTTAGCCCCATGGCTTGTTCTAGATTATGTGAGCCTGTTTTCAAAAGGATCTTGTAAATCAGGGTTGATGGCCTAGATAGGATGTGAAGAGTGCATCCTTGGGGGCAGGACTCGAAAGCCGGCCCGGGGTGATATGGGTTGTGCATTTGGTTGTGTAAGTAATTTATCATAGTATAAATTACTTGTTGATACCTGTAATACGAAGATTTTTAGTTATATTTTCTTTGAGAAAAAGGATGTGAGGTTCTGGCTGTTGTGTTGGAACTGAATGTCTATATTTATTTATTTACTCATTTATTCACTTGCTTATTTCCTCATTTATAAAGTTATTTCAAAATATATTCTACTGGGCATTTCGCTCACATTTTATTGTTTTACAAATGTTAAACCCCTTTTAGGCGATTCTAGAAGTAGTGCGGTGTAGCTGAGTTGCTACCACCTGATTTGGAGAGGATTGTGTTCATCCTC